ACCCCCATTTGGGCACCCCTCGTCTGGGGTGGGAAGGGGGGAAGATGTGGGGGGATCTGCTGGGGCTGTGGGGTGAGGGTCGGGATTCTGGGGGGCTGGGGGGGGTGTGAGGGCTTGGAATTTTGGGGGGCTGAGGGGCCCAGGGAGTTGGGGTGACAAGAGGTTTGGGGGACGGGAGGGTTGGAGAGGACTGGGGGGCTGGGGGTGGTCGGGGGGATCGGGAGGTGAAGGGCCAGGGGGCTTGGGGATTGGGATGTGGGGGGTCATGGGATTGGGGGACATGGGGATTTGGGGATTTGGATGTTGGAGGGTCATGGAATGGGGGTTCGGGAGGTTCGGGGTTTGGGGAGCTCAGGGGTTGGGGGGCCATGGAATTTGGGGTCTGGGGGCACAGAATTGGGTAATCAGGGGTCTGGGAATTCGGGCTTGGAGTGGGGGGGTTGAGGATTCAGGGATTTGGGGTTCTGGGGTCATGGGATTGCGGGGATGGGGGTTTTGGGGGGTCGTTGCCCCCCCTCAATGCCCCCCCTGTCCCCCCCCAGTTCATGCTGGCCACGGACAAGTTCCAGCTGGGCTACACGGAGGGGGGGCACTGCAAGGGGGACCCCAGGAGGCAGCTGAGCCCCCCCCAGCGCCTGCGGTGGGACATCCCCGCCGAGGTGGGTGACAGGTGGGACAGGTGGGAGTGCCGTGCTGTGCCACGTCCCCAGGGCATGGCGGCCATCGGGGGGGTCACTGCGGGTGCCAGGGGTGTGGCACAGGTACAGGTGTGGGCACAGGTGAGGATGCCATGCCGTGTCCCCGGGGGTGGCACAGGTGTGGCACAGGTACAGGTGTGGGCACAGGTGAGGATGCCATGCCGTGTCCCCAGGGGGTGGCGGCCATCGAGGCGTCCCTGCGGGTGGCGCGGGCTCTGGCCGAGGACGTGGATTTCTGCTGCTTCCCCTTCTCCACCTTCGGCAAGGGACTCATCAAACGCTGCCGCACCAGCCCCGACGCCTTCATCCAGATCGCCCTGCAGCTGGCACACTTCCGGGTGGGCAACGGGATCCACGGGATGATGGGATCGTGGGATGGGATCTGTGGGATGGGATGGGACGGGATCCATGAAATGGGATGGGATGGGATCTGTGGGATGGGATGGGGTCCGTGGGATGGGATGGGATCCATGAAATGGGATGGGATCTGTGGGATGGGATCCGTGGGATGGGATCCATGGGATGGGGGGATGGGATGGGATAATGGGATGGGATCAGTGGGATGGGATGTGTGCAGGGCCCAGGGCAGGGCCATGGGGTGTGATCAGTAGGATGAGTCCAGGCCCATCCCATAATCCCCACTGGCCGATCCCGCAGGACAAGGGCAGCTTCTGCCTGACCTACGAGGCGTCCATGACGCGGCTGTTCCGCGAGGGCCGCACCGAGACCGTGCGCTCCTGCACCTCCGAGTCCACGGCCTTCGTGCGCAGCATGGCCGACCCCCGCGGCAGCGTGAGTGCCACCGGGGGACAGCGGCGACACCGGGCTGGCCTCTGGAACAGCCCTGACCCCACGCAGGAAACAGACCCCGGGGCGTCCTCACCCTCCTGGGGGTCCCTGTCCCTCCCGGGGGTCCCCATCCTTCATACAAGTTTCCATCCCTCATGGGTGTCCCCATCCCTCCCAGAGGTTCCTGTCCCTCAGGGGGTGCTGGGTGCACATTTGGGGTGCAGACTTGGGGTGCACATTTGGGGTTCAGCCCCACCGAGTCTTCCCCCGTGTGCAGAGGGGCAGCAGCGGCTGTTCAAGGTGCAGATTTGGGGCACAGTTTGGGGTGCAGGTTTGGGGGGTGTCAGGGTCCAGTTTGGGGTGTCAGTTTGGGGTTCACCCCGCTCTCCCAGAGCTCGGAGCAGCAGCGGCTGTTCAAGGTGCAGATTTGGGGCGGTGCCAGGGTTTAGTTTGGGGTTCAGGTTTGGGGGGTGTGCTGGGGCACAGTTTGGGGTGCTCTGGGGTACAGTTTGGGGTTCACCCCCAGCGCTCGGAGCGGCAGCGGCTGTTCAAGGCGGCGGCCGAGAAGCACCAGCAGCTTTACCGGCTCGCCATGACCGGCTCGGGCATCGACCGCCACCTCTTCTGCCTCTACCTGATGTCGCGATACCTGGGCATGCAGAGCCCCTTCCTGGCCAAGGTGAGCGCGGGACACTGAGGGACACGGGACAGGGGACAGGGACACTGAGGGACACGGGACAGGGACACGAGGGGGCAGTGTGGGAGCAGCACACGACGGGGGCACTGAGGGACATGCGGGGACACGGGGGGAGCATGGGGGGACACGAGGGGCACGGGGGGGGCACGGGAGGGCACAGCGTGGTCCGAGGGGGAACCGCCACCCAAGCCCTGGTGTCACCGCACGTGGAGTCCCAGTCTGGGGCCGGGGCACAGCAGTGGGGCGTCCTGGGGCATAGTGGGGTGTCCTGGGGTGCCATGGGGCACAGTGGGGTGTCCTGGGGTGCCGTGGGGTGCCCAGGGTGCAGCGAGCGGTCCCACAGGTGCTGGCAGAGCCCTGGCGCCTCTCCACCAGCCAGACCCCGCAGCAGCAGCTCAAGATGTTCGACCTCAACAAATTCCCCGACCACGTCTCCAGCGGCGGCGGCTTCGGCCCCGTGAGCTCCGGGGGGCACCGGGAGGGGGGGCAGGGGGGGCGGGGGTGGCTCTGGGGGTCTGCACTGCATCCCTTCCCCCCGTGGATTTGGGCAGGGGGTGCCCCACACCAGGAGCCCCCAGCCCCACGGGCTGGGTGGGTGGCTCAGGTGGGTCCCAGGTGGGTCCCAGGTACCCCATGGCCCCTCGCCCCCCCCCCGCAGGTGGCAGACGATGGTTATGGGGTGTCCTACATCATCGCCGGGGAGAACCTCATCACTTTCCACGTGTCCAGCAAGTTCTCCAGCCCCGAGACGGTGAGGGGGGCACGGGGGGTGGGGGTCCCCGAGCAGGGGGACAGCGAGGGGGGCTCTCCCAGAGCTGCAGTCGCTGTCCGTGGGTGGGGTCACCTGTGGGGTCACCTGTGGGTCTGAGACAGCCCCTGATCCTGACCCTGCTGCATCCTGGCCCCCACTCTTCCTCTGGGACCCCCACCCCATCCCAATCTCCTCCTCTGGGACCCCCACCCACTGCGGGTCCCACAGCTCAGGGGGTGCCCCAGGGTGGGCGGGGGGGGGTTCGGGTCTCACCTTGGGGCATTCAGGTTCCGCTCTGGGGGTCCGGGTCTCACTCGGGGGGTTCGGGTCCCGCTCTGGGGGGGTCCGGGCGGGCTCTGAGTGGTGTCGCCCGCAGGACTCGCAGCGTTTCGCCCGCAACATCCGCCAGGCCATGCTGGACATCGCGGGGCTCTTCGACAAACCCCCCCCCGCGGCCGGGAAGTGACCGGGGGGGCCGCGGCGCCCCCGGGGTTTTGGGGGGCCGGGGGTCGCTGCCCTGGACCTGTTGCCAATAAAAGCTCTTGGTGTGACCCCGCTGTGCCACGGGCTGGGACCCCCGGGGGCGTCCGCGGGGTTCACCCATGGGGTGTCCTCAGGAGGGGCGGTGGGCACTGCGGAGGCATCAAAATCGCCATCGCTGGGGCTGATCCCGGAGCTCCGTGCCCGTGCTCCAGTGATCTGTGCCCGGCCCATCCCCATCCCTGTGCCCGTGCCCATCCCGGATCTGTACCCATCCCCATCCCGCTGCTCCTGCCGTCCCCGCTCCGCTGACGGGGGTGCTCAGCGGGGCACGGCGGCACGGACGGGTCCTGCGCAGAGCCCTTGGGCCGTGTCCGGCCCGGGGGTCGCCGCGCCCCGGGTGGCACCGCGCTGGCACCGCGTTGGCACCGTCCCCTCCTCCCTCCCTCCCCGCAGCCGCCCGGCGCCGCCAGCCCGGAGCCACCGGCGGGCGAGGGGCCAGGCCGGGCACGGGGGGCCAAGGACAGCCCCGGGAGAAGGGACAGGGACCGGGGACAAGGACAAAGACCCCTCTGGGAGAGGGACAGGGACAGAGACCCCGTCCCCGCGGGCATCCCCCGCCTCGGGAGCGTCCCATGGGGTCACTGTCACTGTGTCCCGCACCCCGACCCCATATCGGGGTTCCCGCTGTCCCCATGCTGGGGCCGTGTCCCCTTCGGAGCTGGCCTTGGGACTGTCCCGGGTGCCGTGGGGACCCCGGGGTCACCGCTGGGTGCTGGGTGGCTGCGAGCGGCGTCCGTGTCCCTCGGCCTGTCCCTTGTTTTGTCCCTCAGTCCGTGTCCCTCAGTCCGTGTCCGTCCGTCTGTCTGTCCCTCGCTCCGTGTCGGCCGCTCCCCCTCCCGTATCAGACCCCTGATCTGTCCGCACCCCAGCCCGGCCCCCCCGGCACCTTCACCCCCCTGTCCGCACTCAGGATGGGGGGCGCCCCCCGGGGATGGCCCCTGTCCCCCCCTGTGTCCCCTCCTGTGCCCCCCCGTGTCCCCCAGTGTCCCCCCGCGTCCGGTCCCCTCGGGGGTCCCTGCCGTGGCACCCCAAGAGCGGGGGCGGCACCCGGGGGTGCCCGGGCAGTGCCAGGGCAGTGGCGCAGGTGGGTGCCAGCGTCACCTGTCCCTTTGATGCGGTGCCAGCGGGGCTCCACGAGTGGGTGCTCCCGGCCCGGCCCCCCCGCACCGCACCCCACCCCCCCCGGGGCCTATAAAGGGTTGGGGGGTCCCCGTCCCGCTCAGCCGGGGCCGCTGCGGGAGCTGCGAGGTGCCGGGGGGGGTTCTGGGGGGTCCTGGGGGGTTTCTTGGGGGTCTGGGGTGGTCCTGGAGGTGCTGGGGGAATCTTGGGGGGGTCCTGGGGGTGCTGGGGTGAGGGTGCCGGGGGTTCTGGGGGTGCTGGGGGAATCCTGGGGGTGCTGGGGTGAGGGTGCTGGAGTCGGCGGAGCGGTGGAAAGGAGAAGCCAGGGAGTGAGCCGGGAGCGAGGGGCTGGCGCCCGGCCGCCCCCCGCCCCCTGCAGCCCCCCCATTGCAGGAAGGTGAGGATGGGTCCCGCCGCCTTCCTGGGGCTCTGCCTGCTGGGATGCCTGGTGCTGCCCCCCTCCCTGCCGGGTGAGACCCCAAAATACTCCCTGATCCCCCCGACTGCACCCTGATCCCCCAGACTGCACCCTGAAACCTCCAAATTTCACACAGATTTCCCCACCCACACCCTGAGACCCCCAAAGTGCCCCTTGTCCTCACCCCCATCCGTTTTCCCCAACCTCAGCCCCCCAAACAGGGCCGGGGGTGCCCTGACCCCCCCAAAAGCCGCCCCCGCGGGGCTCCAGCTGGGTTTGGGGGTGTCGCGGTGACACCCCTGTCCCCCCTCAGGGGCTCAGGCCACCAGATGTCCCCGGGGCTGGCTGTCCTTCGAGGGACACTGCTACGGCTACTTTGGGCAGCAGCTGAGCTGGAGGAGGGCTGAGGTGAGTGCTGGGGGGCAGTGGGGGGCTCTGAGGGTCCCCCAAACCCTCCGGGCCCCCCTGGACGTGGCGCTGTCCCCAGGCGTGGTGCCAGGCCACCCGCGGGGGCCACCTGGCATCGCTGCACAGCCCCGAGGAGCACCGGGCGCTCGCCGCCTTCATCGCCCGGCGGCCGCGGCGGGGAGACGACGATGAGGAGGGGGAGAAGGAGAGAGAGAGGGAGAGGGAGGAGAGCGTCTGGATCGGCCTGCACCGGCGGGTGAGTGACCCGAGCGTGCTGTGTCTGTACCTGTCGGCCACACCGGCATGTCCCCTCCTGGTGTCCCCTGCCTGACCCCTGGCTGGCCACTCCCTGCAGTGCTACCTGTCCCTACATGTGCTGTCACCTGTCTCACCTGTCCCGTGTGCCCCTCCCTTGTCCCGTGTGTCCCTCCCTTGTCCCGTGTGTCCCCCTGTCCCTCTGTCTCACCCGCGTGTCCCTCCCCTGTCACAGCGCCAGGGCTGGCTCTGGGCTGACGGGTCCCCGCGGCACTACTGGGCCTGGGAGGGGGACGATGGCCCCAAGGGACATCCCTGCATCGCCCTGGAGGACTCGGCAGGTGAGGGGACACTGGGGAGCCGGGGCTGGGGACAATGGCGCTGGGGACAGCCCTGTGCCACACTGGGGGGATCAGGCGGTGAGGGGACCCGAGGGTTGGGGGGTCAGGGAGGGACAAGGGGGGGTCAGGGGGTGTCCGGGGGGCTCCGGGGCTGTCACAGCGCCCCGCGTGTCCCCTGTCCCAGCACCAACTCGTGTCGCCCTCTGCAGGGTTCATGGCCTGGGAGGGCGAGGCCTGCGGGGATCGCAAACCCTTCGTCTGCAAATACCCGGCCTAGGGGGGCGCCACGGCTGCCCCAGCCCCTGTGCTGCCCCCCGGCCCTGGGGCCTGACCCCACTCCTGTCCCCAAACCCCTGTCCCAGACTCCAGTCCCTGCTGCCAATCCCGGCCCTGCTGCGCTGCCCCCCAAACCCCAACTCTTGTCCCCAAACTCCAAACCCCCATCCCAGATCCCAAACCCTTCTCCCAGTCCTGCCCCCACTGTCTTGCCCCTCAAATCCCACCTCCTGTTCCCCCAGTTCCACCTCCTGTCCCCAAATCCCTCCTCCTGCCCCCGACCCCCCACAT